TGCTTCGTACGCAACGCATCCCGTTATTCCCTTTTGCGTCTTCGCTCTCTCACTCTCTCCTTTATTCGAGAGTTCACACTCATAGATCTCTCTCTCTCTCTCGCTTTCTCTCTCTTTTAAGCTCAAATCACCCACGAGTCAGGTACTTTGATATTGCTTTCCCTCGTATATTTCATTCCAGTCGATCTCTGTTTGAACGTTACTGGCTTATAGCTACAGTATTTGATTGATCTGCTAATCGTCTGTAAGATCGTGCCTTTTTTGAATTCGGTTGTTGAATCTGCTTCATAATTTTCATGTCTGTAAAGGTTTTTTTTGAGCTTTCTGTTTTGAATCACTAGTTGTTTTTAGATGGAAAATACTATGTGCATGCCTTCTATTTTTTTTTTAAAAAAAGAATTTGTTTCCAGTGATGGTGTTTATTGGTTAGTTGTTTATTGCTTGAAAATAGAGGTTATAGTGTTTAATGGCTGAGTACTTATTCTGAGGACTATTTTAATTACAAATGTTTGCACAAAGATTTGTTGGATTGTGAATTAGCTTTTTTGTTAGGCAATGTGGGGCTTTTGTTGAACCCTATTCTTATATTTTAGTAATTTCAAAATATTACTTGCAATAAGTACTTTTCATCATTGTTTCTTTTCTGCTGTCATCAAACTATCCTTAGTTGAAACTTTGTTTATTGATTCCTTGAAAATTATGTGCAGACGGCCATGCAGGAAGGAAGTCTTGCCGATATTCATATTCCCAGTGCTCAAGTTGTTGGAAATGCTTTTGTGGAACAGTATTACCATATTCTTCACCAATCACCGGATCTGGTGCATAGATTTTATCAAGATTCAAGTTGTTTAAGTCGGCCTGATATGTATGGCAACATGACTAAAGTAACAACAATACAAGTAAGTTTATTTAGGAGTTAAGATAATTTCCTACATGAGCATATTGTTATCAAGAATTCAAAACTGTACGGCCTCCGTGCAGAAGATGATGCTTCTAGACTAAGTCGATAACTAGTTTCTGAGAATAATTGCTGAAAAATTGCAATAAATTTTATTGAAGAATTTCTTCAAAAAGTATGGATATTTATGCCTTTTAGTTGAAGCTTTTTATGCCTTGTTTGGTGCATATGCCATATGTTAAACTTTAGTGATGGATATTTCATCAAATGTTTGTTTCTGGAGACATTTGATATGGTAAAATATTAAATTTTATAATTTGAATTGACATTTTTTATATATATAACATGGCTTTATTGACTAGTACACTGATGTTTGCTCTGGATCAGGCAATTAATGAGAAGGTACTATCACTGAATTATGAGGACTATACAGCAGAGATAAAAACTGTGGATGCTCAGGACTCTTTTGAGAAAGGGGTCATCGTGGTGGTATCTGGATGCTTAACAGGGAAAGACAATATTAGAAAGAAATTCACTCAAACCTTCTTTCTAGCTCCACAAGACAATGGCTACTTTGTCTTGAATGATGTTTTCAGGTACATTGCAGACACAGAGTTGCAAAACAATGTTCTGGTTAATGAGATCAGTGAACAAGGTTCAACATATGCCACAACACCTGAACCAGGTTTGATCTAATTCTTTCTTTTGCGTCGTGTTCATATTTTCTTTATGCTCAAATCATGGAATTGCTTTAAATTTTGCTTCCAGGGCTCCCTCATGACCATCTTTTGGACGACCCATTAATTAATCCCGAAGAGGAAGATATTAATAATGGAGCTGAAGTTTGTGATCCCTCAGATGAGGAAGAAGGATCAGTAATTGAAGAGGAGGTTGTTGAACCCCAAAATGTTGTCAGTCAGAATGAGAGTGTTGTGGCTGATGAGTCAGTTCCTGCGGTTCTACAAGATGCTCCAAAGAAATCGTATGCTTCAATTGTGAGTTAATGTTGATTCTTTTTACTCTCCATTTATGTTTTGGTGATTCTTTGATTTATAATTGAACCTAATTGTATATTAGGTCAAAGTGATGAAAAGCAGTTCACCATCTACTCCGGTCCATACAACTACCGGAAATGTAAGGGCAGCACCTGCAGAGCAGTGGTCAACCGTTTCTGCAAAACCTGCTCCAACACACCAACGGTAGCAGTTCCTAATAGTGATAATGCGCCTGAAAGTAGCAATGAGAATGAGGAAGGTAATTGTTAATTTCATTTATGACATGATAATAAAACAGCTGTTCTCTGTGTAGGCCCAACTCTTCTTTTTTCATGAAGTATCTGTGTCTAACCCATATCTGGGGATGGGTATAGGGATATGACCTTTTAAGATCCTCCAAATACATGAAAAACTTAAAAAACAATGAACATGTCTGTTCTGGACTCATACCCATATTTGATGCGTACATACGAATCCGTGTAACATAGATTGTTTTCTTATCGATAAAGTTAGATCCCATCTTTTCTATTTTAATCAATTATCCAATAAGGGAGTCAAGAATCTTAACTTGATTTTGGCATGTTTTATCTTATGTCACACCGATTTTTCTCTTTGATGTGCTTGATGCATATTCTTTCTTGGTTTAAATATAAACCTAATGTGCTTTGTTACCTAAGCTGAAGGACACTCCATATATGTACGGAATTTGCCTTATAATGCAACACCTGCACAACTTGAGGAGACATTCAAAAAATTTGGGCCCATTAAGCACAATGGCATCCAAGTCAGAAGTAATAAGGTTAGCTAAGATATCAGTTTGGGGTTCTATTTCCTTTTTGACATCTCTAGTTCAAGTTCTTACTGTTTTCTGCGTTTCTTGCTTACTGCAACAGGGATTCACTTTTGGTTTTATTGAATTCACGACTCCAAGTTCAGTGCAGAGTGCACTTGAGGTATCATCTCATACTTCTCATCACTCCTGTCATAAATGTAGTGCCGTCATGATCACCATCACTTCACTCTTCCAGTCAATCACTTAGATGAAGAGCGTTTCATAATTTTAGCCTACCAAATACATATTGTATGTGTGGCAAGTATTCTAATTATTCCTCCTAAAACTGAAATGGAAATGTACTTGTTTATTGGGTTAAGCTTTCGTCAACTGTAGTATTACCTGAAACAAGAAATAGAACACAAATCCTAGATCAATGTCTTCTAAGTGACAGTATGTTTGAATGGATTACCTGAAATGTGTGCCTTTCGATCACTTGAGAAGTATCTGATTAGATTATTTCATCTTGAACTTTCTTTAAGAGAACTATACCACTGTGTAGGTAATTTAATCAACTAGTCTAAAAGAATAAATCCACCTCGATTGGCATCCTATGCTGCTCTGACTCTTCATTTTTTCTTGAAATATCCGTGTCCAATACATGTATTTTACACGTACTTGAGTCAGATATGGGGATCTGTCCCTTCAAGGACTCTCCAAATACATGGTAATCTTGGAAAAAGGATAAAGAAATTTCACATACCCGAGTCCAAGTAACATAGCTGGCTTCTCTTTCATTTCTTTTGTTACTTTTGGACAGTATGTAACCATAAAACATGCACCTCGTACCAATTATTGTACATTTACATCTGATATTCTCCTCAACCTCATATTAGTTCATCTTTTAGTTTGTACTTTATTTGCAGCCTTGTTGAATTAAGTTGGAAATTTGAAAGCTAAAAGCCAAATTCTATAAAAAAAAAAGCTAAAAGCAATTAAAATGTTAACGTGTATTTTGTGAATGTCATAAATATTACACTTGTGAATTCACCTGGTCCACATTTCTAAGGTCTCCTAAATCAAAGGTTTAATTACAAAATCATCCCTTATTTTCACCCTTTCTCAGGTGTCCTTAAATTTGTTGCTGAACTTAACTATGATATTAATCAGGGACCTCTGCTTGGTGTTTTATGTGAGCATATTTAAATTTATGGTTGTGCTGAATGGCATTTCAGGCCTCACCGATCACAATTGGGGATCGCCAAGCTGCTGTGGAAAAAGAGGACAAGTACTCGAGGTAATTCGAAATTTATTTCGGAGAAATGCTTTTGACACCTGAATTTCTTCAAAAAAATTCCATTTTTTTTACTAATAATGTTGTTTTACACGAGCTGAACTCTTTAGTTCATCCAATGATGGTACTGAAATTATGTAATATGTTCTCAACGACGTTGCTATTATGCAATATGTTCTCAACCACATTGCTATTATGCAATATGTTCTCAACCACATTGCTATTATGCAATATGTTCTCAACCACATTGCTATTATGCAATATGTTCTCAAATGCGTTGCTATTATGCAATATGTTCTCAACTGTTCAGTTTGTATATATATAGAATATATACTTGAGAAATTGCTGCTTTTTGCAGTTGTTAGCAGTGGGAGAGGAAGGTATGAATCAGGTAAAGGTGGGTTTCGGAGTGACAGTTTCCGTGGTCGAGGGAACTTCATTAATGACCGAGGAGGAGGCTATGGCAGGAATGAATTCAGAAACCAGGGTGAGTTTTCGGTTCGACCCAAAGGTCCAGGTAGACGGAGCGGAGACAGTTATCAGTGGGCTAATCAGAATGGAAGGGGTGGTCGTCAAGGTGGGCCCCCAAAACCTTGATTTTATTTGTTTTCAGACCATCAGCTGAGAAAGTGAACAGATGATTCTTCGAAAGTATAAACAAAGATTAGGAGCCAAGGATTCAAAGTTTTTATCTTCAGAAATTTCAACTGTTCTGAACGGTTAACTATTTTAATATTTTTTTGATCAATATTTTGGCATCTTTGATGACATGCTCTCAAATATTTCCTTATTAAATACATTTATTCCCGTGAAAACATCAAACGATTATAATGCATGTAGCATAGGCGGTGTTATCTTAGCCATAAGAAGCTTAAGCTTGAATTGAAATTTGAGGCTCAAAACTTAGATTTTGAATATTCAATACTAGTTTATATATATACATGCACTTAGGTGTTCTTTCAAGAGGTTGCAGAGGCTGGACTGGCAGTGCAACAAGAGAAACAAGCTAACCATTTTTTGGGTCCACCATTTCTGGTTGTTTTAGGGGTCTGAGGCTTTGGGGTTCCCGAAGGACTCTGTGTTTTCTTTAGGGCATCCTAGCTTCGGTGTTTCTGGAGTTGTCTGTGCTTCATTAGCTGTTTCTGAAAGTGTCTCTGGAGTTCTAGGGGTGGAGCACTCTTGTTGGCTTTGTTTCTCTGTACTCTGAGGCGGTGATCCGTTTTCACTTGTATCTCCTATCAATCTTCATTGCAAGAAAAGAATGAATCAGCATGTTACTGTAATACGATCGGATATCTTTAATTCTTCAATGTTGGCGCAAGGTTTCGCACCCGAAACTGAAAACCGAAGACTGGAAACATTCAGTTTTTGAGATGTGAGAGCTTACATAGGGAAGGCAAAATATTGACACTTGAATCTGGTGGATCATAATGAACATCGCACACAGGATGGGAAAGAGAGTTCTTTATGAACATCGACCTTACGAACCTGAGATGCTTTCTCCCTTGTTGTGTCGGTTGCTTCTGCTTCTGTATCTCTGATGCAGCCCCCGTTCGAGTCTCTACTTTGCCCGGTAGTTTCAGTCGCTGTCTGATTATTACGTGGAGTGACCTGGAATAGACTGCCAATAAAACTCATGTTCCCCTTGTGGATACTAAACAATGATTCGCTGTTTAAGCCGATGACACCACGTTGAATGGCAAATTCAGCTGATGACAGATTGTTCCACGGAGTGCCTGGTGGCAACGGACTGCAAAGTGGTGAATCGTTATAAAAATAAAACTCGCCTGATTTCGACATCCAATTCAATTGTTCCGTTGTGAAACTCGGGTTCCCCATGTGAAGGCTAAACAACGATTCGTTAGAACGCATGCTCCATTCCCTTGTAGCTGCAGTTGTTCTAGCAAAGACATGAGATGCGGTGTTGGCTTCGGTAGGTTGTTCCGCAGCCAATGTTTGAGGAGTTGGTGTCGCCGGATCATCGTCACCGGTTGACGATGAATGAGAGAGGATTGTCGGCTTTTTACCCCGTCAAAACACGAAGATTTTCACTCGGAGAAGCAACTCGGTCCGTATTGAAACACTGCTGGAATCATGATCTCCACTCATATTTCCAAATTCAACCAGAAAATTATGCTTTTATGGAATTAAAACAAAAATCAATCAGACTTCCAAGCTCTTATCTGTTTTCATAAGCAAAACACAAATGAATGATGAACACGAAAGAAATTTTTGTAAAATTCCCGGATAGAATCGTTTAATAAACCATAATTTCTTGTTCATCAAATTCACTAATTAAATCGTTAACAAACCAAAAATCCCAAAAACAATTGTTGAATATATAAACTCAAAACCACATCAAGAAACAAATAGAATCAAACAATAAGAAGAACTAACAAAATCAAATGATAAGAACCAATTCAAAACGTAATTCGAAGATTTAAAAAACATGTATCCTTCAATGAATCCCAATCAAATTGATGATTCATTGACTAGAAATGAGCCTTCTTCCTCCGATCTTATTAACAGAGAAATAACGAAACTCGATAATTAAAAATAAATAAAGATCGGAAAGCAAGAAAACTAGAGAATGCGAGAGAGAATTGGATGAGAGGTACAATTTGAATGGGTTTAGGTAATTTGTGTCTGTTTTATGTATGGTAATAACGAACTTTAGCCGCCAAAAAAAAACTATTTAATTTGTACATGTTTAATACTCAGGTTAAAGTACATTATAGGTCATTAAACTATAATTAATAATCTTTTTGGCCACTAAACTTTCAGAAGTTATACAATAATCATTCAATTTAAAAACCCACACGTGTCGCCATCGTCTACTAAACCCGAGGGTTTTACTTTCCAGTTCCATGAAAACAGAAGGGTAGGCTGCGGAAAAGCCTCAGTTTTTTTTTTCCCGTAAATTTCTTTCTCTTTTTCGGTATCTTCTTGAGCCTGCTCGTTTCACTGACTGTTCATTTTGAAAGGGTTTCTTTCAGTGTCTGTATCGCTAAAGGTGTTTCCTTTTTCAAATTTCTTGTATTATCATATCATTGTTTTTCTAGCCCACATTAGCATGAAATGATTTGCTTTGGATTGCTTGTTTTTGGGTTGCTTAAGATCAATGAGAAATCGGAGTTTTTTTTTGGAGTGATTGAAAAAAGTTATTTTTTCTATTGGTTTTGTATATGAATATCCATGCCGTGTTCGTGTGTTATTGTTCGTCATAATCGTGTTTAAGTTGTTTTATACTTGTACTAATTTTGATGTGTTAATAATTCTTAGGACAGAGATTTTTGAACATTTGAATGCTAGCTCTTTTAGTCAGTGTTGTGCTTGTATATTTTCTGGGGTCTGATCTGTTTATATTTGTTATCTAGGTCGAAACAATGGCTTTCTTAGGTAAATTTGGGAGTATATTTAGGCAACCACAAGTATGCAGGTCGATTCTCTGTTGTCTGCAACAAGGCCAGGGCTCTTTCAAGTATTTAGAAGCATGTCAACATCACCAAGCTCGAAGCTTTTTGTGGGAGGTCCATCGAACTTTCCTCTAGAATTCGAGTCCTTTTAAATTCCCCATTTTCTTGGGGTTTCTCATCTGTCTTGTTTTGAATTGCAGGTATTTCTTACCAAACTGATGATCAAAGTCTGAGAGAAGCTTTTAGCAAATACGGTGAAGTTATTGACGGTACGATATCCTTAATTCAACTTGCTAGTATCACGATAAACAGGATTGCAAAGTCTCAAGATGCTTAAATCTTACTGTCTACATTTTGTATGAAGTATGGCTTGAACGATGTAGGTATCATCGACGAACTAATTTAGGAAGTGACTATTTGTTTCTGACTTCGAGTTCGTCTATTTTTTTTTATAAGAATTGGAGGTCTCGTTAAAACCCCCCTTCATAATTCGAGTTCATCTATGTATGGGTGCTTAACTGCTTATGCTATTGGGGCACTTACCGATGAATGATAATTATTTTCTTGTTTGAATTTGCCTGTCTGATTGCTTATGCTCTTTGGTGGACTAAAAACGGTTTCACTGTTGGTTTTCTATTTATTGATTTGTTGTTGCTGTTTTCCGGTTGACTTTGTAATACTGTTCATTTTATATTTCCTTTAGCAAAAATAATTGTGGATCGAGAGACGGGCAGGTCGAAAGGATTTGGCTTTGTCTCTTACTCTAGTACTGAGGATGCCTCCAGTGCAATACAGGCCTTGGATGGACGGGTAATGATATAAAAGTATATAGGTTTTATTTTTTTTAGGATTTACATGTTACTTGGACTTGATTGTGAGTGTTGGATATAGTTACGTGTCCATCACGAGCATGTTCGAAAATTTCTAATTTATTCCATTGTTTGGAGAGTTCTTGAAGGTCATATCCATAATGATGATTTGTAGGAATATTTTGTTGACAGGAATTTGTGTGTGAATCCTTGTTGCAGGAACTCAATGGCCGTCAAGTAAAAGTAGCCTATGCAGCTGAAAGACCTCCTCGCAACTTTGGAGGTGGAAGTTTCAATATTGGTTATGGTGGCGGATACGGTGTTGGTGGCAGCTACAGAGATGATAGTGGGAGCTATGCCAGAAACAATGATTTATCTTCTGGAATTATGGAGGTAATATTGGATATGGTAACACTGGTGGTGGTTATGGAGGCCAAGGAAGCTATGGTGGTGGAAACAATTATGGTACTGGTGGTAGCTATGGAAGCTTCTGATCAATCTGGTCCAAACAATTGCGATGGTGGGAATTTCAATTTTGCTGCCGGTGAAAGCAGTGGCAATAGTTTTGCCACCAGCAGTTCAGCTGGATTCAGAGGTAACATAATGGAATTCGGTGGAGGTAATGTTGGATATGGTAACACTGGTAGTGGTTATGGATCAAGGAAGTTATGGTGGTGGTAACAAGTATGGCGCTGGTGGTAGCTACGAAAGCAGCTCTGATCAATCTGGTCCAAACAAGTGCGATGGTGGGTTCAATGCTCCAGCCGGCAACATTGGCGGTGATAGTTTTGCCACCAGTGGTTCAGCTGGATTCGGAGGTAACCAAATGGGATTTGGTGGCGATAATGTTGGATATGGGAAGACTTGTGGTGTTGGTAGTGGTCATGGAGGCCAAGGAAGTTATGGTGGAGGTAACAAGTATGGCATTGGTGGTAGCTATGGAAGCAATTCTGATCAATCTGGTCTAAACAAGTACGATGGTGGGAATTTCAATGCTGCTGCTGGTGATATCGGTGGTGATAATTTTTCCACTATTGGTTCAGCCGGCTTCAGAGGTAACCAAATGGGATTCGGTGGCGGTAATGTTGGATATGGTAACACTGGTGGCGGTGGTAGTGGTTATGGAGGCCAAGGAAGTTATGGTGATGGTAACAAGGATGGCGCTGGTGGTAGCTATGGAAGCAACTCTGATCAATCTGGTCCAAACAAGTACGATGGTGGGTTCAATGCTGCCGCCGGTGGCATTGGTGGTGATAGTTTTGCCACCAATGGTTCAGCCGGATTTGGAGGTAACCATATGGGATTTGGTGGTGGGGGAAGCGGTTATGGAGGCCAAGGAAGTTATGCTGGTGGTAACAAGTATGGCACCGGTGGTAGCTACGGAAGCAATTCTAATCAATCTAGTCCAAACAAGTATGATGGTGGGAATCTCAATGCTGTTGCCGGTGACAGTTTTGCCACCAGTGGTTCAGCCGGATTTGGAAGTAAACAAATGGGATTCGGTGGTGGTAATGTTGGATATGGTAACACTGGTGGAGGTGGTAGTGGTTATGGGGGCTAGGAAGTTATGGTGGTGGTAACAAGTATGGCACTGGCGGTAGCTATGGAAGCAATTCTGATCAATCTGGTCCAAACAAGTACGATGGTGGGAATCTCAATGCTGTCACCGGCGAAATCGGTGGTGGTAGTTTTGCCACCAGCGGTTCAGCCGGATTCGGAGGTAAACGAATGGGATTCGGCGGCAGTAATGTTGGATATGGTAACACTGGTGGCAGTGGTAGTGGTTATGGAGGCCTAGGAAGTTATGGTGGTGGTAACAAGTATGGAACTGGTGGTAGCTACGGAAGCAATTCTGGTCAATCTGGTCCAAACAAGTTTGATGGTGGGAATCTCAATGCTGTCGCCAGTGACAGTTTTGCCACCAGTGGTTCAGCCGATTTGGAGGTAAACGAATGGGAGTCGGTGGTGGTAATGTTGGATATGGTAACACTGGTGGAAGTGGTAGTAGTTATGGAGGCCTAGGAAGTTATGGCGGTAGTAGCTACGGAAGCAATTCTGATCAATCTGGT